CTCTGTGAAATCAGTGAGCTTGATAGTTTAAATATTTGCTCTGCTAGATGTTAGAGAAAGGACTGGGAAGCTTTAGGATCTACTGTATACAACTTGCCTAACATTTGCGAGATAATCAGAAACAGAAGTGTAGATGGATTAGGGGGTTAAATGTTGTCTGATATGTACCCCTCTCTGTGATCAGAAGCCACCAAGCATGGAGAGAAGGAAATAAGCAGGCAGCAAACAGTATAGGGTCTCCAGGAAGGAACCAGAAGGTGAGAGATTTGGGGCAAGGGTGAACTGTGCACTGAACTGTGCACAAAAATACTATTTCCCATTGCTGTCTCTTCCTTTGCCTGGAATTTGTATACATTTTATTTAAAAGGAAGATAAATAATGGTACATGACTGCTTCCTAACAATTCAGAACAATTCTTAATAAAGAAGAATAAATGTTGTTTCCTTGTCAATGCAACCTACCATCCTCTTTTTTACATTTGAGAGGAGCTGAGCAAGTGTTTATACTGACAGAAAGATTGCAATGTGAAAAGGTGGATTTTCATCCTGTAATGATCAGGAGAATTTGCTTCCTTCATCTTCCTCATTCCTATGAATGTGATTAATTGTGGTGAAGCAGGTTCAGGACCCACCAAATTAAATGAAGTATAACAGCCCACAAAAGTAAGATGTCCTGTCTCTCTCTGTAAACAAGGATTAAGTGCTGGTTTTAACTACAAGATGACTTTATTGCTCCTATTTGTTTTATGGATTCTTTACTATCCGTTACTTAATTGAACTCAAAGCACAAGCCTGGCTTTATCATTACTGAGCCTGTGAGTAATCATTAGGTGTCACTGAGCCAGCTCTTCATGTGCTTAGACATGTGGTTAGACAGACTTTTACTTTGGAGATAGGATAAGAATAGCTTATTGGATCTGGCTTGGCTATCCTGAAATCAATGTATGGTATCAGATCCTGAACAGCACACTTCTGCACTACATATGGAAGATAAAATTTAGGGTCAGTAGGCCTGCTTTGCTGTTGCATTTCATCAGAATTCTAAACGTACACCAGACCAAAACCAGTCACACACAGTTGAATCAGTCTCCTTGTGCCCATGGAAATACCCTGCTTCCTTGCAAAAATCTTTCCGCAGAAAGCTTTCTAAATTATATCATCATATTTCTCCTTACTGCCACTCTTTAACCCTTTCTCCTTTTTTTTTTTTTATTCCACCCTGAAAACAATTGCAGCTCATTCAGTGGAGTTGCTATAATTGTTCCTCAGTGCTTTTAGAGTCATACTTCTCTCCCAGCTCTTTCCATCTAGTAAGCCAGGATCTGAGATCCCTGCTGTGTTTAATTTAGTCAGTGTTTCAGATTAGCTCACCACTACCCGTGTGTGTGAACAAAAGAAACTGAGCATGAGCTTTTTGATTGCTACTTACTTAACAAGACTGGTTTTCAGCTTTTCTATAGGAGCAACAGAATCAGCTTAGTGAAAACTTTTTATTGTTCTGAACTTCTGTACAGACACTGAGAAAAAAAGAGCAAATGAGACAGAATGGGTTGAAGGTGAAAAACCTCTGTCAGGAACAGAGGTTTTCTGCTGCGAGAGTTCCCAGTTAACAGCCTGGGCTTCTTGAACTATTTCTGAGACAGGCAGGCTGATTGCTGAGTCAGTGCACATTTAGTGTCCTTCAAGAATTAATTAAAAGCAGTGAACAATATGCTTTGCTTCCTCAGTAGGACTTTTTTTTCCTGAAACTGTTTTGACCATCTTTGGCTGGAGGAAATGGGAGACAACTGCCATTATCACATAAAGGCAAGACCACTTCCTCCAGGACAAGAGTCCCAGGTATATGGGTCAAAACAGCAGCTGGAGGTCATAGACAGACTGACAATAATTGAAGAAAGTTTGTACCAGACCACCTGGAAGCAAGCTTCAGATGTTTACCAGTAAGGATTAAGCACCTCTGCCTAACCTTTCTCATTACAGAAATTTTACACAGCTTGATTTAATCCAGGTTGAGATAACAAGCCTCATAGATGAAGTTCTCAGGAGACTTTGTTCAGCTGATTTTCCAAATAAGCTCTGTACTTTAATATTGTTGTAAATGCACATTAATTACCCGGGAACCTTAGATGTATTTGGTAAAGCTGGTTGCCACAGCAGTTGTTGCCGTGCTACATGGTCTGTTTTGCATTTAGCTTTTTGGTATGGTAGTATTACAAAATAAGCATACTCGCTGTGGGGAGAAAAGCAGCAACCCACCAAGCCTCTTTCTTCCTAATATGGTGAAATAAAAAGCCTTAGTTTGAGCCAGCTGAAGTGGTGATGGAGTTGAGGCCCAAGGAGCAGGGTCATGGTCAAGATTCACACTGGAAGGGCAGGAAATGTTTAAATTCTCTGACCATGATTAAATTATGGAACCCAATGATGCTATCAGAGCTGCCCTTTTCTCCTCCTAGCACATGTTTGATTCCAGACTGGTGAGAGTGTTCCTTACTGCAATTGCTGGTTTGGGATCTATGGGCTGTGCTATATAGCACATGTAGGAACTTATTTTTCACAAAGGTTTATATTAAGTAGGGACATGAATTTCTCAGTGGGCAGCAGTGTGGGGGTTTCAGGCAGAGCCCTGAGCTGAAGCGGAGGCTGGTGAGGGGCAGGCTGCGGCAGGAGGATAGGCACCGGGCTGGGCTGTCTCCTCTGCTCTCACAATGTCCAGAGAACAGGGGCCCCAAACGCCATTAGAGTGCCAGGAAGTTTTGCCTTTTTCCTTATTTGTGTTCACTATCACCTTTTAAACAAAAGAGCTCAGCTTTTCACAGCAGCAAGCAGTTGGTCAGTGGTAGCTGTTTCCCCCATCCCCCTGCCAGCTCCCAGCTGAAGAGATGGGGTTTTCTGGCTGCTTCTCAGGGGTTGTGCTTCTGCTGGTTAAAACCTCTGCTTGGGGACGCTTGGTACAGTATTAACTCGTGATAGTTAGGTCATGATAAGTGAGACATGCTTTTTTTTCTTACTTGCTGACGCAGGGAAGAGAGACAGTTGAATCCATAAAAAAAAGGGAAACCCATAAGAAACCAGAGGCTGACACATCCAGAATACATAATCCCAGTGATTATAATTTATCAGGTACCCTAGTCATCTGAGGCTTTGCAAACAAAAGCCGACTGAAACACATCTCCCCAGAGGGAAAGCTACATGGAAAACACTCAAATAGCTTTAACCACTGTTGTGTCACAAATTCCTCTTAGATTTGGTGACTGTGGCTTGTTCTAATTAAAACAGTAACGGTTTCACCACTGTGTTTTAAAGTAAACAATCATTTTCTGTTTATAAGGGAGAAAAAGGAGAAAAGTGAAGATAGCACTTCTCTGCCTGGAGTACATGTCTCCACAGCCCCATAGCACATTTTCTCCTGCAGTGTTGTCACCCATCACAAAGCTTTGCTTCTCAGCAGCTCTCCAAGAGCACATGGGCAGTTTTGGCAGCTGAATCATCCATATAACAGCTGCATGTGTTCAGAAAAAGGCAAAGGCCTGAGCTTTAACTTTTATAAAGCCTGATCACATCCAAAGCTGGATTTGGTGTGCTCCATTGTTTCTACCACAGCTCCCTAACCTGGGACTCAGACCTAGCCCAGAAGGAACCACTCAGATAGAGCAAGGATGCTGCAGGAGCCTCAAGAAGGCAGCTAGCCCTTCACTGGCAAGGAAGGGTGAAGCAGAGGCAGGCAGCACAAAGAGGAAAAAGTATGTTTGGTCAGCTTTATTAGATAACATATTCTTTATACATCCATTACCAAAACTTTGACACGGAGGGAAATACTGAAAAGGAAATCTTTTTTTTTTTTTTTTTTTTTTTAGTGGAGTAAAAGTGTTGCCTGTGTTTTTAAACAAAGGCGTGTTGTGAGAATCATGCCATACAGAAAAGGAAGACAAAGGGAAACTACATTTGAATTAATTCAGATAAGTGAAGGCCAGAAGACCTTATGACAGAACTTTCCATTAATTCCTGTAGTCTAGCTCTCTGCCGTAATTGCGTTACTTCCTAACTCTTCCTAACTCTTTTGTACAAATATTGTTGTGGTTATTATTACTGATTACTGTATCTACTACAATTATACTTACAAAAGCTGTTTACAGTATTGCAGCCGTAATAATGTGAAAGAGCAAAGTCAGATGAGACTTTCATGGTGGATGTTGTATTAGATTTTGAATTAACTTATATAACTGTCTTCAGCTGCAAGTACTTACAGTGGGAAAAGACCAGAACAAAAGAGTAAGGAACAAACTTTGTTTTAATTCAATCACTGTATTGAATCTTAGGTTTAAACTTGATTTTTAGTGAATCATAATTTTTTGAACCTGTGATCAAAGCCTTCTGCCTGACCCTAGAATATACTATTTCAATTCAAAGACAAATTTTGTTAAATTTTTTTCTATTTTAACTTAATTTAAGAAAAAAAAGAAATCTTTTTAAATAAATTTTTTTTATTTTTTTTTTAACCTTTTCAAATAAAAGGTAATGATTTCTCTGAATTAAAGTATTTCAAGTTTTGAATTGTTTTCTGGAGCCAGTATAAGTTTATAAAATATTTCAGGGTTCCTAAGTCTCATTATTTTTCCCCAGAGTTTTCACTGAAAAATTTCAGCCAGCCAGCAAAACAAGAAGGGATAGAAAGAGGTACAAAAAAGTTAAAATAGTTTTCCAACGTGTCATTAGATGGATGTCAGTATTACAAATAGAAATTTCATCTCCTGTGTTCCTCTCTAGAGTGAGAAACACTAAACATTAAATAGATAAATTATTAGATGCAAAATAAATGTCTAGCCATAATTGTTATGAGCAACAGAGGTCATTACAATTACTAGAACAGTTTACTTAGTCTCTGAAATCTTGTTCCTTCCTCCCTGGTACAGTCACAGGTGAAGCCCTAGTTGCCTGCTCCATCTTCATGGCACAAGTTAGCATGATAGAAAGGTAATTTTATTTGTATTACTGTCTCTTCAGAAAGTCCCTCTCTCGTTGTCGAAGAATTAACAGGATGCTTTCAAATGAGTCAGCACCTCCTCCTACATTCAGTCGCTCCAATTCGCAGGCCTCCATGGACAGCACTTCCATGGAGGACTTCTGGTGTGAAGTGGAGAGCATCAAGGAGAGCAGAGAAGATGGATCTGAAGAAGCAACAGTCTTAGAGTTCAAACCTGCTGATGGTGAGCACACAAACACCACTTCTTCCTTATGCCTTGGCTTTGCCTTCTCACTAAAGAGTCATGCCCTGATCTCCTTTCTCATGCCATTCAGTATGAGCAAAAGTACTAGGCTGGGTCACTGTACCTCTGCTTCTGAACATCACAGTCAGTCAGTGGAAAGAAGCAATAATTCACTCTGGTTTATAACTGGAGCTGGTAATTAACTTCTGAAGTAAGTTTTTTTTGGACTGACTTTGTGCTTCAGGAGAACAGATACGGTGTAATTCATAAAGGAGAGACACTCAATGAAAGCTAAATCTCCAGCATTACATAGACTAAACCAAAACATTTAAAGTGAAACAATTTATTTTGTTAAATTTATTTTGTTAATAATTCATTTAGTATGCTGGAATTTTAAATTTTCTGGCTTTTGGTAGGATATAATGCAGAAGTTATTAAAGTCTTGAAGAATTTTTTGGTTAGATGTTGTTTAATGCTATCAGGAATTTGATAACTGCCTGTTTCTATGAGATTACCCAATTTGGATATAATTCAAGAAGAGTTTAGACTTTAGTTCAGAGGTAAGTCTGAATATATGGATGCCTGCATTGTTCAGACTCCCCACTTGACCAAATTCATTCATCACTTATGCAACATATCCTGAAGGTATTACTACCTCATTCTGTTATCTTAACCTTTTCCTCTCTCTTGTTTTGTACTGTATTTGGAAAAACACATAATAGTCTGTACTGGCTTGTTGCAGTACAGCTTTGTGTTAGATTTGATAACATGTAGAACAACAGTTCACTTTTTTTTCCGGTTTTGACCCCATTTACAAATGCATTATATTGTGCAACAAAAAATACCAGGTGTTACTATAGGATGAAAAAGAATTTCTTCTGAGGTCATGACCCACTGATAACTCTTTCTTGAGAACATCTTGTGGCTCATGGCTGCTAGTCTGGTAATTACTGATCTAGGGATAGATTTTGAAGCAATGGCATGTTCTTTCCTTGCAATTATTAACACAAGTGATGATGAGGTTTTTTTTACTTTGACATGCAATGAGATGTCATTAGTTCTGCTCCCAGGAAGAATGGTGAAAAGGGGGGAAAAGTACTACAGTATTAACAAACAAATATGTAATCAGTCATGGTAAGTAACTTACACAGAGGTATCTAACTCCAACCACGTACTGTTCCCATTGGAAACACCTCCCACTCACTAGTTCCCAGTAGGGCTCTCTTGGAAGCCAAGGGAGAAGACGGGTTCACCAGAAATCTTGGTCTGCTATGAGGGTTATGGTTGGTCAGCTTAAATCTGAACTGCACTCCTCTGTTCCTTATTGGGAAAATTCTTGTCTGATCATACTCTTTAACTTGGAGACCTTAGAAAGAGGTTGTGAACCTATTGGGTGTCTCTCCTTCATTCAGTTGTCAGCATGAGCTGACAGGTGTCTCTGACTTGTCTACACCATCAGGAGAATGTCACATATCTGTGAGTTACCAAGCTGTGTAAGTTAGTAGGGAAAGTCAGTAAAGAACCTCATTTTCCAGAAAGTTTTCCATCACTTTCATTACTGCTGAACTAAATCTTCACAACAGCCCAAACTCTGCTGCAGTCCTGTGTTACCCTTTGTCTGATTACACCTCATTACAATGCATTGATTTTTTCCCCTCTGACATGAATTAAAAATGAGACTGCAAGTCAAAGTGCAGCACATCTCCACACTTCGTTTACCTTCGTTTTGTTGTTTTAAACATATATATATATATATATATATTCCATACACTCACACACAACCAGGCAGTGTTTATCCTAGTTATTAAGATCAGGAATATATTCAGTTTGGGATTATAAATCTTGGAAGTTCTATTAAGGTCCTAATAAGATAATTCTCCTTGCCAAATCAGTGTGAAAACCCTTGGGGCAAAATAAAAACAAATATTCATCGCCCTTTTGAAATGTCTTTCAGAGGAAGAGATGCAAGATCCTTAAAAAGAAGACCAAAGGGTGATAGCGGCCAGGCACCACTGATACTGTCAAAACCACAATGTGGTTTGCCAGACAACACATGCAAGGGACAGACAACAGCACACTTACTCTGCTGATGTTAGTAAATACAATCAAAAAAGAACAGAAGATTATAACAAGTGACACAAGGGGTGAAAATGTGAAAATGTAGGGGAGGAGGAAGGCATGGGGTATTTAAGATGTCTGTGATGTACTGAGCTGCTGCTTTATAACTTCATGTTTCAAGGCTGGGATGCTGTGCATTGTTTAAGATTATATCTGTGAGTTATTTCAGGTTATATCTGAAATTCAAAGCAAGACACACCTCTTTCCTAGCAATCTCTATGAGAAAAAGATAATTACCTTCTCAATTATCTGTTTATCTTCTGGTGGAGCACAGTATCAAGACCCTGCTGTATAAGTAGCTAACTGTCAAAATAAGATTTGTAAAACAACATGAGGGGTTTTTAACCTATGTTTAAAACCTATGTGACATAAGATTTTGAAGTTTTTTTAATGCATAAATTTCTTCTCTTTGATAGTTTTATTCCTCTGATTGCTGTTGCTATTTCTTAGTCTATTGTTTGTGAGTGGTTGGAACAGGAAGAGGCCAAAAGCCAGAGAAAACAAGTGGTAAGCAGGCAGAATTTCATGTCTGCCTTACTATTTTTCATAGCATCATGAAAAACGAGTTTGATTAAAAACTCAATACTTGGAAAGAATATGTCAAGACAAAAGCTAAAATTAATATAATTAAAAAACTGAAACATGTACAGATGTGGCTCCAACAGCAGCACACAAGAATGAGAAGAGATGTTCTTAGAAAGAAGAGTGAGGAGGGAAGTTCAAAACTTACAAAGACGGGAAGGGAACACTGTAATCCTGTCTGTGGATACAGAAAGGATAAGAGCGGAGAAGCTGTTTCAAGGCATACAGGACTGGTCACACCCCTGGCTAACACAGAGTAAGGGTTTTAGAAGCAGCTATTTTTGCAGAGCTTTGTAAAGAGGCAGGGCAGTTAACAATGAAGTCAGTGATGGCACATGCATAAGATGCTTTTGCTTGTCCCTGCAGCCCAGTCCTGTAATTTTCTCTTTTGTGTATCTAGCTGCCAAAGTGCAGCAAACTGGTGTCCATCAATCAGCCTGCATTCTGATGTCAAGAAGAGGCAATAAAGGGAGAGTGGAAATACCAACCTGCCATTAAGACCAGCACTGGGACAAGAACAATAAGTGCATTGACTAGTTGTTTTATAGAACATGCTGCAAATTAATCCATTTCCTGTTTGACATGTTTATTTGTAGTACCTCTTCTTCAGTTAGAGCCGTAATGAAATTAGTGTCCTGTCTCAAGCAGCATACTGCTGAGCTAGGATTGCTCCCAAAACTGAAATGAAGGACCTCAAAATCTCCTATGTGATGAGAGATTTTAAAAGACTGTGACTATTTACTTTAAAAAGCAGACAAATAAAAAAGCAATGGCAGCAAAATTTAAAATCCCTAAATGATTCAGAGAAGGCAGACTGGGAGCTTCTGCTAGTCCAATAATGAAAAGGCATATTAATTTAATGTAACAGGTAGCAAGCTGAAAACCTGCATTGGCTTTGCCTGGACAGGTTTTGGTAGCGGGGGGACTGCAGGTGTGGCTCTGTGAAAAGATACCAGAAGCTTCCTCCATGTCCGATAGAGCCAGGATAGAAAACAATTTTTCACACAGTGCCTAATCTCACTATGGAACCAGTTGCAGTGTTGAACCAGCTGAGAAACAAGATTCAAGAAGATATGATACCTAACATGCAAGGATGGCTATTTTTTCATATTCCACCCCTACCTGACCTCTTTGATACCGACCCCCTCCTGAACCTTGCTCTTTAGTGAGCAGCTCTGGTTCTTAATCGTTCAAAACAAGCTGCTGGACTGGGTGGACATCACCCTTCTCTTAGTGTAGCTTCTTCACTAGGAGTCTGACTACCAGCTGGCCCTCTGACATCTCAAATTCCATTGTTAGTGTGCAAATACATTATTCTGTTGTATACATGTCTTCGGTATTTTTGTTTATTTGAATTCGAATACCAATTTAAATTCCATCAGCCAAAGGTCTTTATCCAGTAGAGCATGCTAAAAATTGTAAGCATGGCATAAGTGGTAACTGAGGAGATTTATGCTCTTGCATTAGGCGTTAGCTTTTAAGGACCTTGCTGTGTCAGGCTTGCTACTCTGTTGCCTTTTTCACACGCCTATGCTGATGCACAGGTTAGAAATGCCTCTTCTGTTCTTCTGGTAAGCCTCTCCTGTGCAGACACTGACAAACTGGAAGTGGAGAGCATGTTGACAAAACCATCTTTACTTGCATTTGTGCCCTAGAAAAGGTTGGAATTGGAGTCTTGTCAAGGTAAAGGCTATGGCAGCAAGGTGAAGGTCATGCCATCTCCTTTCCTTCAGGCCCCTCGCCCTTCCTTGCCAGACCTGGTAACACACTCTCTTCCTTCACAGAAGGGGAACTGGAGGCAGAATGGCTGCAAGATGTAGGTTTATCTACGTTGATCTCTGGAGCTGAAGAGGAGGATGGCCAAGCTCTGCTGTCCACTCTGACCAGAACTCAAGCTGCTGCCGTACAGAAGAGGTACAACACCTACACTCAGACCCTGAGGAAGAAGAACAAGCACACAGTCCGGGATGTGCGAGACATCTTTGGCACCAATGACTCTCCTGTAAGTATCTCAGTGAACACCTTTGATATTAATTTTTATGCAATTTGCAGGTAACTCACCAAAGTTTCTACCAGGCAGGAACCTTTTTCTGCTGACAGTGTACAGACAGACAGTGGCAACTCCTGACCCTAAAATCAGACTTTTAATACTCTATATGCTACGTTTTGAGAAGAAAGGAAGACACCAAACACAATAGATGGTGCACAGTTTTGCAACTAACCTGTAACATGATGTTGTATCTGTTACCAGTCTTCCTCCTGCAATCTCCTACCAAGACTAACATTTACTCCTTTATTTTTTGGAAATTGGTGAGTTACTCTTGGCAGCTATTCAAATTTTTGACGGCTTCTGGGGACACTTGCTATTTACTCAGCAGTCTCAGTGGTGAAGTAAAACTTCTCTAATGAAGCAACTGGGGTTCAAATATGCATAAGCAATTAAACACCTGCCAGCATGATTCCAACTGGTACACTGGCAGTTACATTTCACTTATGTAGCAAATGAAAATCTGTTAACTGTTCATTTGCTTCATGGCTTCAGAAATGAATGTTACCTCTGGTGGTTTCTTCTGCTTTTCCCTGAGGATAGCCCTAAATGAACCAATTCCTAGCACTACATGTTTTGACTGTTGAATGCAGTAAACTGTGTGAGTTTAGTTCAATACTCAAAGCAACATGCATGATTTTATCTTTGTCACTCATGATACCTTAAATGGGAGTCACCAGTAAGCTCACACTCTCACCTTTGAAATTAATATTAAAGTTTTTGCCATCACAAAACTCCAAGAAACTCTTTTTCATTATGATTTTTCTTTGTCCTTTTCTATTTGTCCTATCTTCTCCTCAAGGCTTGGCATCCTGGACTATTTAAAATAAAAAAAAAAATTGGGGCACAAAATTGTAACTTCATAGTTATGATAAAATCGAAAAGATATAATGGCCAGAAAGTTAACTTATTTGTCTCCAAATTTAAGTATCTGGTTACTTTTGAACCTCTTACGGATATCCCACAAATACATCCAGAAGTATCCGGTAGTTTGTTGTGGTCAGACTTTAGTGAGAAATAATCAAACATGTTTACATGAACGTTAAAAAGCTGATGATTCTTCTAATTAGATTAGCACACTTCTCCTGACCCAAGTCTTTGTAAACCTTAATGTGTTTAAAAAAACTAAAGTTTCCTAATAAAATTTAATCAGAAAAATAAATGTTATACCCGTTCTCTCAGATAGGCACGTTATTGATGTATTTTTGACCTACTTATTTTCTACTTTCTCATTTTCTGAAGTTTCTCAGTTGCTAGAGGAATTTGTATCTTCAGAGCCAATTGCCTTTCAAATCACTTTTTTACTTCCTCTGAAATTCAGTTCACTTACTACTTCTGCATTTTTAAAGTCTAAAAGATAAAATCAAATAAGTAATTAAGTCTTCTAATTTTTCTTCCCACAAAAATATGCAGTTACACAGGTGCTTAACTAAATGTTAAACACCGATGCACAAATACAACTGCAGAACACACCATCACTTCCCTCCAATGGACTGTGACAGATTGTATTTCTAAAAGCCTGCAAGGTTCCCAGCACCCTTTTGGCTTTCCTATTGACCATTGCTCCTATCTCTGATGCTTATTATGGGATTTAGGAACTTTGTGCTAATTATCAGCTCTTCAGGGATAAACACACTTCAGAAGAGCTTGTGTTCCCGACCTAAGGGTTTCCCAAGCAGTCTTTGTTAGGGGGTATCAGTAGTCCCTCATGCTCTGCTGCCTCTCTGGGCACGGCACTACAGCTGGCGGTGAATCTTTGTGATGAATCTGCTTAGGAAAGAGATCCGCATTAAAAACAACCCAGCAAAAAGAAAAGAGTGACAAGAGACGGGAAGGGGCAAATCTTTACAGCATAGCTGTTGAAGAGAGGCTGGTAAGGAGACTGCTTGAAATGACGTGAAGTTTTGCTTTCCCATCCTGCCTTTCTGTTGGGAAGGAAGAAGTAATCATGGTGCAAATAGCAAAACAGCTCTAATTGTTTCACGTAACTCTATAATCCTCCCCATTAGGAGGATGGATTTACACCTTCTACCCAACGACCTAAGAATTGCAAGAGCCTAGAGGGATGGGTTACAGAATGGTTTACTGTCTTCTGTGGCTAATGATGAGATAAAAGGTGATTAGCTCAGTAAGGTCACCTGAGATGAGATTTAGGGGATCACTAAAGAGGTGTAAATAGTTGTCATCCGGAGTGGAGGAAAAGAAAAATAGATTTGCCCTAGTTTTTTGTCTCTGTTCTGAAAAAAAAAAAAAGCCTCCCTGCTAGATGTTTTGCTACTACTGCCTGGTGGCCAGCCTCTGTGGGAGTCAACAGAGAGCAAAGGGTGCTTTTTCAGTCATCCTACCTTGAGGTCCATCCCCTCCGGGCAGGAGTGTTCCCTCAACAGACAAAGTGGACTCAAATAAAAGGAAATGCAGCCATTCCTCGTTTTGTTTGGATTTTTTTTCTGTTGCCTATCCTGGAAATGTGCCATGATCCCTGGGGGCAAAATGCTGCCCCGGTGATACATCATCCTTGCAAGAGCCATGCCTTGGAAGAGCAGCCTGTCCCAGCTGAGGTGCTTTTGCTCTGCTTCAGATAGGTCTGCAGCCAGGAGCCTCGACTGACAGCCACAATACGGAGTTTTAAATTGGATGGTTTATTAATCAGTGTGGCCTGATTTTTCTTACTGGTGATACCCTGCTGCTTCCATCAGAAGCCATTGGCGTTGCTAGTGCTCAAAGCCTAGAAAAATCAGCAGAATACAAATGAACACACACACATTGATTTTGTTATTGGAGGGAGGAAGTGCATCATGTTCATTAACAGCCCAGCTCTGCCTTGTGAAACTCCTTAAGAGTTTTTAGAAGCATTTTACTTCAGCAATGCATGAGAAAATCGTGTCCTGATTAAGGAGAAATCACTAACCCAGAGCTATTTGCATGAAAACGTGTTTGTAATGACAGTGCTTGGAAATACAAATATATTCAAAGCATTGGCAAATTGCCTTTATTTCCCTTAGCTGCAGGGCTGACAACAGAATTTGGTTGCTTAGGTGCTCCAATGATTTGGTTTTACATCTTCTACAATGCGGGTAGCTACTAAAGAACTATCTACCTCATCTCCAGCTTCTCCTTGCTCTTCTGATTTCCTCTCCCCTTTGGAAATTCCTGTGTACATTGTGGCAGTAAACAGTGGTTTCATTTTTAATATGTCTAATGAATTGCTTTCAGACAGAAATCAGGGTATGAGAAGCTTTACCTTAGCTGGAGCCCCAGCCAGATGAATAAAGTTGTTCCAGTTTAGTTAAGGACGCAGTTTGACTCTTGGTCTTTCACATTCATTAAGATCTTCCACAGTTTTTTATTCTTCTTTTATACTACAAAAAAAATCTGGATCTTTAAAATTCATGTATTAAAAAGATTTTATTTCCAGTCTTCCCTTTCTTTTTATCATATTATCTTAAGATTTTAAAAAAGTAAAATGGGGGGGAAGGAAGACATTTTCACAAAAGGGACATAGATTTGGCTTCTTTGTACACTCTCACTGTGGAGACTCAGAAAAGAGACTGAGAATATGACATTTTAGCTACCCCTGATACTGTGCATGGTCCACATTATTCTGTAATTGCCAGAAGCTAGAGCAGCCCACAGGCTGTTGCAAGCCCTGATGGGTGTGAAGCAGAGGTGTGCTATCTGCTCCTTTCCTCTGGCTCTGTTGTGCTTTATGGAAGCGGGTTACTGCAGGTACTTCGCTATTGACTTCACCCTTGTAACAAGGCTGGAAGTATTTTTTTCCTTAATAAACTTGACTCATTGTAAATCTGTTCTGAAAACTTACAAGGGTCAGACATTCTGAGCACTGAAAGTAAATAAATGAGTTGCTAATGTTTACCATTAATTTTTCCATCTGGAACTTAAGCAGAAGCATAAGTACTTTTATGGTTGATTTTCCCAAACTGCTGAGACAGGTCTAACCATCCCCTCCACTTCCATACTCCCACCTGAAATTTATAGTATTTTTTAATGTCCTGAAGCTTTTTATGTAAATGTTGTGGGATTTTATCATAAAAGCATCCTATAGTTCTCCTTTTCAAAAAATCAGTGGTCCTTCCAGTCTTCTGGCAAAGGAAGTCCATGTGACTCAAATCCTGTTTGCTCTCAAGTTTGCAGGCTATTGAATGGACTCTCTCAGGAGAGATTTTATTCATGTTACATTTGACTTTGTTACCCAAATAGCTCAGAGGATAAGGCAGAATAAAACAACCGCAACATTATTTCAGGCTTCCAATTTGAAGAGCTGCCTGTCTATATGACATTTTTTAGCAGCCTGAATGTTGCTCCTGTGTGTTGGCTACAAACGGGGAAGACAAAATTTCTGCCCTGAGGCATTGCTGGTTTTTGATAAACAGCCGATTTAGCAATTTAAAAAGCAATTTAAAGAGCGGGTATTGAGGGCTCACGGGGTCTCTCAGATGCAGGTTCAGCTAGAAAACTGGAGCTGCTCCATCAGGCTCAAAGGGGGTGAGGCAGCAGGTTTGAGAAAGGCGGAGGCTCCAAGGACTCCCAAAAGGATGCAGAAGACAGCAGAAAAAAAATACAAGAAAGGTTTGGAATATTGTAGTCGTTTTCACAGAGTAATCTTCAGACTATTTCTTTAATTCATGACCTTGATTATGGTGTTTGTTGTTTTGTTTTTTTACCCATGAACACAGATGAGCTGCTACTGCCCCATGTACACAGAAACACTTGAATTTGTCTTTATGAGTCACCGAACTGCTGAGAACAAGGCCTAAATTCCACTGCCAATAAGAGATGACTGAAAGTCACCCCCTGGGCTACTAAGCTCTTTCTCTGCAGTGCAGAATGACTTTTGTAGTGGAAAGAAATTAATTTTACTATAGAAAATTTCTTTGTTCCCTCAAAACGTTTTTTGCAGTCCACTGATAAAAATGTTAGTATGTGGGAGGACATCTGCCCATTAATAACTTGCTGATGCCCAAATTGCAAGAGACACCAAAGAAGCCTGATTTCTGACAGGTGCCTGGGAACAGCAGATATTCAACATGTGCCAAAGATTCTTCAAAAAGATTTGTGGCCAAAATGATTAAAAGCAGGATGAATTACAGTTCTACGAGGACTTTTTTCTTAGTATAATTCTGTACAGCAATTTACTTAGCTAATTTCAGTCATTATATAGGACAGGACTCATTAGGTACAGCAAGCTGTAATATTACTGACCTCAACATGATCCAAATCTATACAGGCTGAGCAAAATTAATTCTCAGTCTTGGCTATGAAAAATATACTCTTGAGAATCACAACAGATTGTTCTATCTTTTCAAAACAGTGTAAGCTGAGAATGATACACTGTTGCTTGAACTGTAGTAGTTTTTGTCCATCGACTTTTACTTTCACTGTAGTCTGATCATTTTTACTTCCTTATCAGCTCACGTTTGAGACAGTTCCGGTGCCACCAGTTCCTTCTAACGGTATCCAGCTCCCTGGGCAGAAGGCAGTTTGGAAATCAGTTACCTGTGAGTATGACAACATGTAACCAGTATTCACTTTCTCCTGGAAAAATGATAGACAGACCCTTTTGTGGTTCGGGGGTTAGTCCCCTCTTTCATGTTGAGGCAGTGCTGCATATATTTCCTTAAAATCATTGTCAGCTTATTGTCATGCAGGACCCAAAGTTTCCTATTAACGGCCGGTGTTGTACTACTCAGACTGCTGCCCTTGAGGCATCAGCATCTAAAAAATACTGATCATGGCAAGGCTGGGATTGTTAAAACAATCGCTAAACCATATTTTGCAGAATTTGTCCAAACTATGTCATCAGTGTATTTTCTTTTTGCATATCATGACAAGATAGATTCTTATTTTCCTCCAGATTTCTCTGGTACTGCAGAAACTGCAGTATTAGAAACAGATCATTTTCCTGGTTCTGCCCTATTATTCTGATCCACTAATGGTGTTACCCCTTAAATGCTTTGTCCTGACAGTGACTGGCACTGCTAATGAAAGCAATAGCTCTACTCTACTCAGTGTCTGGATAACTGTTAGTAGCCTTCCATGAGAAAGTCCATCTTTTATTTTGAAAGCTTTTCCCATCCACATTGTTCAGGGCTTAACTAAATTAATATTAATATCAAGTTACTAAACTAGTCCCTTGAATGTTTACCTCTGGGTATAGTGCCACAGGCATTTTCCTTGGTGGCTAAAGCTGCTCTCCTGATACTTCTGCTCTTCAAGCAGTTGTACTGGAACAGATGGGGAACCAAATTCCCAGGGCTACCCTAGACGGTCTGTGGTCCCAGGTCCAAGGGGGGAAAGAGAGATGGAAAACATCTTAAATGGCTTGGCTATTAGATAAAATCTAAATCCACAGTTCAAAAACTGGAAGCCACTCAATAACACACTTAGCTTTTTTCATATCAGACTTGCAAAATTTGCAATATTTTTGTTGCAAAAAATATTTAAATCCCTGTATCTGTTAATGCAATGATTCAAAAAACATGGGACATGCACAGGTTTATAAAATACGTAATGTTTTTTAATTAACTTTCTGATTTCCATGGCTTTTGAACACATTTGGGTCATGTTAGTAAATTCTTTCCTGCAGTCCTGGGTGATGAAATTTTACTTCACTTTCAGTTAAATTTATGATTATATTCCAGTTAGGTGAGTCTAGGAGTTGGACCTTAAGGGAAAACTAAAAATTGACCTGAGATATGAGAGATCTGTCATGAAAGTTGGCAACACTGGAACTCATGTGTGTTATCACACTTTGGATTCCATGACAATAGCATATTACTGAACTTGATTGTACTGCTTTCAGATATTTTCCTCTGGCATCCACTAATTTCAGGAGGTGACTAAAGAGCAATAAGTCAGTTCACAATATCTACCATAAATGCCAGTAGATATAGTGTTTTTCAAACTGGAATATTGTACATTGTGTCCTGTTTTGGTGCTATACAACTAAACTATCAACCTTGAGAAATTTATGTCTGTGACCACATAAAATATATGCACAGTGTCTTATGATTATAAGTAACCTAAGAAACTGTGTCAACAGCATTTTTCTGTCAAGACCTTTTATTTTTAATTGTTCATTAGACAAGTGCCACCACAGTTTGCTGGCTTGGGTAGACAAGGACAGAGTACAAAAACTTTGGAATTCCTGATAAACAGGAAGTTCCAGCTTGACTATCTTTCTCACAGAAAGCAACAAATTAATAATCTAAAATGAAAATAGGGATTTTATTTCTAAGGGGTTATTTCCTCCAGACAAAACAGGAACATGCTGTGGTTTGCACTGAAACTCCTCTTTGAAGCACTTCCTTTATTACTGTCTCAAGACTTTTGTCATCTTGGTTTAATTTTTTAATGTCTCTGTACTAAATGCAAGCATATATTCAGCATTCATATATAATTTCCCTTATTTTCAGCTAATAGCTGTCTAGACTGCGGACTAGATAAAGGCAGCCCATCCGTAACAGAAGAGCTCTCTTATGAGGTCTCTTTCTCAGAATCCATTACAGTCCTTCCAAAAACCCAAGAGTGGCCAAAAAATCAGAGGTTCAAAAAAGAAGACTCGGCTTTGCCTGTAAGTTTGTTCTCGACATATTTCTTTGGTTGTTTTCTTTAATACAGCAATTTCCTGCTTTACACCCCAGCACTGTTGGAGTCTGTTAAGATACATGAGCTGTCCTTTTAGACACATGCTTTGTAGAGACTGCCTCCTGTGCCTGCCTTCTGCCTGTGATTGACTCCCAGAGAGGCACCAAAGTTAATATGGATATCCAAGCCAGGTCTTTACTTGTACCCATCACAGATGAATATGTGTAACTCAGTCCACAAATATTGCATCATCCACAATTTTTTCATACAGAAATAAAAATCTCTTACTGGCATGAAAACTAACAATCATTTTCATTATGGGTTTGCTTTCCTACTTTATTCCCCCACAGATTATCTGCCTTAGTTAACACATGGATTTAAAATTGCTCCATAGATGAAGGGAGGAAAGCAAACCTTAGTCCTGCAGCAGTACTGACTGTTTCCAATCAGTATTCAGTGCTATAGGAAATACTATATGAATGGCTAAAGAAAAATTTACCGTATCATCCAACCAGACATACACTGAGCAGTTTTGTCATTATCTGGAATTATTTCATGAAGTCAAGGAAATCTGTTTTCTACTTCCATCAGCCCTCAAAACTTCCATCACTGGAAGCATTAGTTTAGTGCTTCATATGCCGCCTTTTTGGTGACATGTATGATGTCAGCTGTAAATTATTTGGAAGCATTCCTGAGTGTCGTGATGTCCTGAGATCCTGAACTAATCTTAAGCTGTTATAATCCACACAGATGTTCATTTGTCCATCTCAGACTCTACCAAGGAAGAAGCTGAGATGCAGAAGTAAGCTTGCTTGTCAAAAGATAAGACACCAAGTAATTACACAACTTGTGTGAAATCCCTGTGTTTTATTGTGTCTTGTTGTTTGGGGTTTTTTGGGGGGGGAAAACTTGGTGACCTGTGGAAAGTAAGGGTATTTCAGCATTCATCATAATTTTGGCCTTTACTACAACACTCACACACACAAATTGTTCTCTGCAACAGCTCAGAGAATTTGCAGTTGACAGAGGAGGGAAGCTGCTGACAAAGAGTAAAGATGTCACTTTGAATATCATGGATCTGTGGATTCATAATTGATTAGTTTTAGAAAAAGCCAGTCTTGTGCTGGGGTTGAACTACTCTGCATACAGGACATCATTTTGTGAGTTCATCAGTACACAAGAAATAAGAAAGGTCATTACAGAGAGAGATTTCTGAGTAAAGTCAACAGTCATAGCTGTTGATGTTGGCATTCCCCTTACTTCATCTGCTGTCACTCATGGTATTTGTTTTTTTCCCATAATGACTCAGACTGTCATGGGCCTCACCTCTTGCTCTGTTACACCAAGCAACCAGCCACCTATACCCTGGAGGACTGTCCCTCCTTCCCCATGGTGGGCCAATGGGGCTAGACTGAAGACTGTGCAACATCATACTTTCTCCAGGGCAGGTCTGGCAACATAACCAACGTCATGGATAGCGTCTACAGAGCTGCACAAAGATATATTGTATGTCATAAAATAGCATGTCCCTTGCAGCTCCCAGAATGGCCACCTCAACAACCCTGGCTGCATAGTGTTACATGCAGTTTCCCCAACACGGGACCATAATCCATGTGACTTAGTCAAAGATATTACAAAGCTATGAGTCAGTAAGCATATCAGGCCCATCTGAATACACTACATAGTTCCACACAGAAACAACATCACAAAATATATCAGACATGGTCCTTAGCCAAAACATTAGTAATCAAATTTCAGGATAGCACAACCTCCTTCAGTGATGCATATTTTGACACGACTGTTCATAAGAAAAACCACTGGAAAATTGTGACACAAGAGAGAAGAAAGAGGCCCAGCCCCAAACCTTGTGCTAACCACAGCATCACATCATAGTGACCCTAGGACTCAAACAACCACCATGGAAAATCATTGTAGCACCCTTTTTAATCAGTTTTGAGTGTTTGGAATTTTTTCACCGGCAAACATACCTTTTCACTTTCCCCTCAGAAAATATACATGTACTATCTGAATTTTTTTTTTATTTTCAAGGTGATTTATTGTGCTTTGACTGCTTTTGGACTTTTTGCATCACTGGAACCAAAATGCGTAGATATTCTTTAGTATTTCATGTATCTTCAGAAGACTATCCTGAATGCAACTTTCGTTACATTATTAAGTCTCAGCATAAGGGAATTGTGGAATTGCTCTGTTCTACAAAAGGAATATTCTGGGCTAAAATGCTACAGACAGCATGTTCATTAGTCATTCTGTTCCCTGAACTCTTTCTGCCCCAATTATTATTAATCCCTATTGACCATGTGCAATATAATTTAGGAAGTCCTAAACTACATGATCTAGATGTCCTTTGTAGTCTCTTGTTTTTGAAATCTGGTGTATGTTTAAATTTTTTTTGTTTGTCTTTTATTTAATTAGTTTAACTGGCTTCATTTAAAGATGGCTTAAACCTATCGAGTCCAAATTTGTTTAAAAAAAAAAAAAAAGACTGGGCTGAAATCTCCAGAAGCAAAACATTATTAAAGGCTGGGTTTCCACTCAGATCCCTAAAGGGAGGAGATGATTTGTAATACTATTTGTTTATATCTCTAACATTTTTTTAAAGTACAATTAAATTAAGAAGACATACAATACCAAAGATATTTGAAAAGCATGTTTTTTACTGTAACTTTGTTATTATGCCTAACAATTATGTTAGAAACTGATGGGTATTTGTTCTTTTTGACATTTGTACAAATGTGTCTGTCATGAGGCAACATTCCTGGCTCTGGTCTACAACACTGCAGTTTCTAAAACATGTAGAAATCTTCACATGCCCTCAAATTCCTCAGTATCATTTAATTCAAGTCTACTTGAATAAATTATTTCTTAGCTGTTGGGAGTCCTGCTTCTAAGCCCAACTGCTTTTTAAGTAATAAAAAATACCAGTAAATTGGCAGGTTGGCATGAGGACTAAGTAATTTTGCTTCTGGGCTTTTCCGCAGGTCTTTAGTTTGAACTCTTCTGTTAGACCTCATAAATTAATAGCATTATGCAAAGCAGGCATGTATTTGTTACAGACACATGATTGATACACAACCATATCCATGATGAACTGTGTCAGCTACGTCAACAGCATTCAAGACATTTTGGGGAGGGCAGAAGCAGAGCAAAATGTTGCATCCTGCTGAAACAGGGCAAAAGTTTAAAAGTAGCACGTAACTCATTTGTCCTAGCTGGAGTACAGGCACAGGGGTGCTCCAACACCACTTCCCAGTCAAACTGCAAGGGAACATAGTGAGCAAGAAGCTCAATTTTATGTTCAGGTGGACACAAATGATGTCATCATACCAGACCAATATATAGAGCTATAGTTCATCCTCTTTTTGTTATCCATCTGCCCTAACATGACTTCCTATCACATACGGGCACCTCCTTCAAAACAAAAATTCACTCCTTGTAATTTTTGTGCAAATAAAGATGCGACCCATCTCTACTGTAGAAATTCGTTGTTCGGAAGAGCCGGTTTGGACTGACAGAGGTTGGAGACCTCTCCCCTGAAGACATGAAGAAGATCCGCTACCTCTCCCTGATTGAGCTGACAGCCTTCTACGATGCGCTGGGGGTGGAACTGAAGAGGAACCGTGCAGAGAGAGTGCGGGGACGAGGTATTGTGCTGCGGCATCCCCTTTGCAGCCACTTGTGTGTCGATCAGCATTGCAAAGAAGGCGCTTACAAGGCTGTGTTTCCTTTTTTTCACATTTGTTGTTATTATTTTTAAGAGAATGGTCTTTTCGGAGTCCCTCTCACTGTGCTGCTGGAGAACGATCAAAAGAAGGTTCCTGGAATAAAAGTTCCCCTTATCTTCCAAAAAGTGAGTATAACTCAGGTTGCTTGGACAATAAGATTTGCTTCTCTATCATTTGCATTGACACTGAAATGAGTCATCAGATGAGAGAAGATGCAGGCTTTACAGACTTGCGGGTGCATACAGGCTGTCTAACTGTATATTGTGGTTTGAAAACCCCTTGACAAGGAGACAAAATTTACTCCTTTTGTGTGTTTTATCTGTGGTGGGGACCTAATTTTATTTTTGTAATGATATGAAACCACACAGGAAACTTCAGGAAAAAAATGTCTTTCTATTTCCCTTTTTTGTTAAACTAGAGAGCCAGGCAAAATTATGTATGTGCAGAAATGACGGATGTGAGTTGTCTCAGGAGCTTTAATTTCACATTAATTGAAACTGTAGGTATTACTTAGCTATTATTTCCAGAATAGAAGTGATATCTTCTCCTTGAGGTTTGTATGACAAGACAACACTTATATGAGCCATTTGGCAGTACAATGACATCTAGTGGATGTCTTGAAGACAGGTACACAGACACAAGAACATGTGCAATTACAACAAATTTCCCTGTAAATACTGACAAAAGGGAAAGTGGTGTGGAGTGTCAGGGGAAAGACTGACACAACTTGAATATTTCCATGACTTGGCATTTAGCTCCACAGCTCTCATGTCAAAATACCATGGGAAATTAGAAGAATCCAGGTTTGGGCAGGAAGAAGCTCTGGTGGTGAAAATCCAGAGCTGTATGATTGAATGCTAGGAAATTATTTTTTTTCCAATGTTCAAAATTATGTCAAATGAAAACATATTTATTTTTTTAATAAAGAATTAGAATGGAAAGCTTATTCCTCTATTCACAGAAATTTCAAAATAAAATATCCTAGGATCATTTTCTAATCTGAGTTCTCAGTTCCCAAAAACGTATGTTATCTATGGACCTTTCCATTATGCTTCTTGGGGCATACTTCAACATTTCTCAGAGGTTATTTTTCCTTCAATACACCACTGTATTTTACCCAGTGTATCTGCTCTTTTAATAATACATTTATGTGTTAATTGTTCTATAGCAGTGACAACTCTCATGTCTAGGACAGAGGGGCCTATTTCATTAGCAGTTTTCCATACGCTGCATACTCCTTATTTCAGGTTCAGGAATATGGAGAACAAATTAGGCAGGTTTATTTACATGAACTGACATCTTTTCATGAGCAAATTCCATAGAAATGTATCTTTTTCAAATTAGTTTCAAGGATACCAAGACTGAAAAAAAAGTGAATAGTATTCTTAAGTGCTTTTGAGTATTTTTCCCTTCTGAGTGTTTTGTTGTCTTTCAGTTGCTGCTCAAGCTTGAGGAAACAGGTTTGGAAACTGAAGGAATTCTGCGGGTTCCTGGATCTGCCTCCAGAGTAAAGGTAGACACTCGTGCCAGTTTTCCATCTTCTGGACCGCAGACTCTATGTAAAATAATACATCACACACAAAAATTCACACTGCACATAAATACTGATGTGTCTCTAGCTCCTTCTCCTGCCAGTGAAAGGTCATATTGGTTCCTGGGAACCAATAATGCACAGAACATGTAGTCCACTGCTTTCTTTAGTTAGTGTTCTATATAAAGCACAGTCTTGATGTTGAATGTAGCTTTTCTCCATGAAACATTGAGGGATCCTTTTAGTTTATCTCTGTCATCCAAAATTGCTATGACCTTATCTCTGTTTTAATTTATTTCAGAAATTCAAAGTTGCTAAACTCAGTGAACATCAGATAAAGATCTTATTCTATGTCTTTTTAACCTCTGTGGCATTTTATTTCTCATTTATCTTCTGTGATCTTACAATTTCATGTTCTAAGTGAGAGAAACTTGGCATATGTTCACTGCTGGCAGCCTGAAGTACTGCATTTTCACAGGCTGTTTTCGAGCTGTGAACACAGGATAGTTGGTACCCAGTCTCCTGATATTGTGGGGCAGTAATGCTTGCTATTATTTCTCCAGACTAACTTGATTCTGGAAGCTGGCACAGGCAAATTAGGAAAACAAGGTGTTTTTTGTTGGGTTGGTGTTTTTTTCTGGGCTTAGTAGTGTCCACCTCATTCCCACATTTTTGCCTTTTTTTCCCCCCCTAGGCTTTTTTTGTTCTGATTTAGGAAACACCTTATAGTGCATTTTACTCCCACTTTCTCATCCTCAAGAAAGTTAGCCCTTGCTTTCTGAGGTAGGAAGTCTCAACATTGTGGCAGCCATACAAATGTTGGGGATTGCTAAACTGGCTGGGGCTGGGAATCATAAAAAATTACTGTACACGGAAAAGCAACATTATGTGAAACACACCAAAGATAGGCAGTAGTATCCCAGCTCCTTTGACTCTGTGGATTGATAAAAGTACCCAGTGGCTTGAAAAGTGCCACATCTTGCAGAAGGAAGTTCCTAATTTGCCCTGTACTTTTCAGCTTCCTCTTTTTTTCATATGAATGCTTAAATGTTATTTCACACAATCTCAAATCTTACCAACCTCTTCAGGGAGATTACAGTGCAGGGCTGTGCTCTAATTCAATTATTTTCATATTCTTTGTGTACGGTGTACTGTGTATTGTTCACTTCTTATTCACAGCCCATATCCACGGATCTGCTATAAGGTATGGCTTTATATGTAACTCTCTTATACTGGGTGGTAAATTAAACTGCCCATATGAAAGTTTTAAATTATTTGAGTTTTGGTTTCATTTAAGTCTGTCCAACAAGCCAACGAGCAAGAGAGATTTTTTCAAAGCAGATCCAGATTTCATCCTTCAAAGCCTTCATACATTATTATGACATTAGTATTTGAGGGCATTCCAACTTTATTTCAGTCTTGTTTGGAGAAAGAAAAGGCATATGGAAGTGATTAAAGGTTACTGTTCTATAAAAAAAAGTATAAATAAATAAATACAAGTTTTCTTCCATAATCTGGTTTGTAACAGAAGTTCCAGTGAACAAAAAATGTATGATGGTCTAGTGTAGGGTCAATCATGTTTAAAAAAACCTGCAAACACATATTTTAGAAGTACTTAGATGCATACATATATATATGTATATGGGGGGTGGAGGGAATTGGGTGTATAAAATATATTCTTACCTGCTTGTAGATAGATATATATATATATATATAAAATGTTTGTGTTTCAAAGATCTTGCTTTCTCTTTCTGCGGCTTTTTCCCAGTTCTCAGCAGAAAAATGTGGAGTAGATATCTGTCCTCTTGTGCTTTTGATGAGGTGAGGATTTCTGTTCCACATTTCCCAGTCAATTACCAGGAGAGAATTTAGTCTAGGTGTTTGTATGGATTATGTGCAAAGGATGTGAATACAGAGGAAGCTGAGATAGCCCAGATTACAACCAGTTAAATGTGCTAGTAAAAATGAGACTGTAACATTATATGCCAAATCCTGAATGACTTTCTACTTCCTTTTGTGCAACCATTCTATTTCATTATGTGTGACTGTATTTGATATGTAATTTCCTTCCATTCATGTGAGACGTGGTAAACAGAATTCATTTTTAAAAGCTTTTCTGCCTGAGCAGACTAAACTTTTTGCATAATATTAAAGAACATTTGACAAAAACATGATCTGAAACCTGAATATTTGCTACAGATACAATTTTGTCATAAATGGTGTCATAAAAGGCAGCAACATCCCTCCTATGGATAAGACAGTGTTTGGCCAGTAATAATTGTGAAAGCTGTGTTATTTATGGATATCCTTATATTACAATAGCATCCTTCAATCATTTTAACTCAACAATTTTTTGAGGAGCTTGCATTTTCCAAACAGTCATCTGGGTTTGAAGCCAAATTCTGTTCCTACTAGGAACCTTGCTACGTATTTCCCATTCACACGTGTGTTGAACTCTGATTAGTGACCCTCCAGAACTAAACAGACCTCTATTATGCAGCTTACCTAGTAGAACAAGAGGATTAAATGGGCATCTAAAATGGTATAATCATTAATTCTTAGATCTCTCTTTTGTTTTTTGAGTTTTAGGGATTCGGAGGGGTTATGCCTTAAGTGGAGGTTTTTCTGACAGTAATGGTTTGATACCTTTATTTTCCTGCACTTTGACCAAATCTAACTATAATTATTCTGACATAAAATTTCCTTCTAAAGACAGGAAGACACAAAGTTAAAGCCATTTGCTAAAGGCACATGAATTCAGATGCCAACAGTCTATCTAGCAAGTTCACCAGCAGTGAGGAAGATACACCACTCCTTTGTGATTTAAGGGTCAAAAGCTCTGGAGAGTGTTTTAAACAAAAAGAACAGCTGTGTTAAAAAGATCCCAGTTAACTGAGTTTTCTGTTTCTAGTTCTAAGACATTGCACAACATTGTCTTGCTTTAAGATGGTTCAAAGGGGTCACTGGCAGAAACCTAGCTATAGCAAACCAAATTTAGCCTGGGTTGCCAAATATCCCCAGGAATTTGATTTGCTAACCTGCTCTTAACTCCATGTGGGTGTAAGACTGCCAGTGGTTTAGGGCTCCCTTAGTTCAAGTGCTGTGCAAAACCTGCATTCTCTTTGTAATGGGACTTCTGAAGTGATGGCAAACTGCTGGGTCGGCAACAATGATTAAAGGCCAAATGTTTCTTTTATCTTTCAGAATCTCCATCAAGAACTTGAGGCAAAATTTTATGAAGACACTTTTGACTGGGACCAAGTACGAAATAATGATGCAGCGGGACTGCTGAAAATGTTTATAAGAGAACTCCCAAGCCCACTCTTCACAGTAGAATATCTGCCTGCTTTCATCACGCTAGTGGAAAGTATGTGGAAATGGAGTTAGTGTGGACTGATCTAGATAAAATGGAAGAGTAGACATTACATTTTTTTCTCTTTCTGAAGTACTGAGAAAAAAAATGTGATTTTTTTTCTCTCTCTGAAGTAGAGAGAATAACATGCCCACTGCAAGAAAAACAGGCCCAGTGCACTGCCTAAACATTTGAATTTTCTGCAAGATTTTGTTTTCAAATAGAAAAAAGTATCTGCATTTAGCTAGTAGTATAAGTGTGTTGTATGAATAACACAACTGTTTAATGTAAAATTTGACACCTATGAGTAAACAATGGCTGAGCAATGACTTTCATATTTAGACTCTGATTCACACCAGTTATAAGTTTCACAAATGAAAATTTTTGCAAGGTGAACTCAAAATCAGCCCTTTAGCCAATATTGTCTTGGATCTATTTTATTTCTCTTAAGGTTTATGTTGAGGTCAGAATACTGGTACAGAGATAAGTGTGATCACAGAAAGCTTCAGGCAGTCAGGTTTGTTTTCAGTGTACATACACTCTTTCATTCTCAGTACATTTTGTTCATTTCTCTTCCAGGAAGAATGCAGTTGTACCTTGCCATACCTATGACTTCACTGTAAAGTCACTTGAGCTAGTACAGAGTGAAACTCTCAGGATGAAGAATTAATTAGGCAACTTGGTACAGAAAACTGAGGAACTTTACCTAAGATTGCAGCCAAGTTTTCAGTGTCTGCATTAGGTAGTTTACAGGGCAGAAGGAGGTGTCCCTTTCCTGTAACCTTCACATACCTGAGTGTGCTCCCTGAGAGTCCCAGACTGCATGCAGTTACAATGGCTTAGCCATTTGGAGAAGACTGAACAGGAGGTGTCTGTGCAGAATGGAACTATTTTATTCCCTACAACAAATACACAAATATCTAAGAGAAACTAACTAGTACTGAAAAATATTGGCTTGTTACTATGTAGACAGAATTTTATAGAGCCTTGTCTCCCCATGTGACAAACATCCAAGGTGAAGAGGAAAACTCCACTCATTAAATTGATTTTTTATTTTATATTTGGAAAATATAAAATCAACACCTAAACATGCTAATCTCAACCAGGCACTAGCTGTTATTTCTAGAACTGCTGACACACAAGGTTTTTGAACAAACCAATTGCAGCTGGGATTTCAAAAATATTAATTATTCATATCCTTAGAAATCTCCAAGATCAAGTTACAGCTACAAGCTTTGCATCTGTTGATCATGCTGCTGCCTGAAGCCAACAGAGATACAGCCAAGGTAAGTTCTTTGTTTGCTATCACCTGCCATCTGTGATGCTTTTGACTTTTAAATGAGACACATGTTTTTTTCAGAAGATTCACCAGGAAAGAATTCATCCATGTTTTTTATTATCTCCTTGAAAAGATGTTCCAATTCCCTGACTGTGATTTCTTTTACAAGCAATTAAGAAACAGTTGCTGGAGGTATCCAACTGGTGGGTCTCAGGCATTGTTTATTCTGGGGCACCCATTTCAAATAAGCATGTTTCTCACATAGTTCACATAGTTTGGAGAAAAAAAGTCCAGTTTCTGGGTTTTCTGTATAAAAGAAATTCTCCAGAATGAATTTAAATGAGAAGCTGCCCTCAAGGAGCTTGCCTAGTGCACTCCCAGTATTGAAGGGCTTCTGGAGCACTGGACCAGACTGGAAATAGTCCAAAGTAAAAATGTGTATCCATAGCACAGATGTCAGGATCTCATCCTCTGTTGGCTGGCCTTACAAACCCATGCCCACCCCACTGTACTACTTCCTGATACAGACACAGTGGCTACAAGCATCTTGGGTGTTTGGGAGCTCCCAAATCTGACTGCAACTATGTCCTGACCCTAGGAGACATTGGTTGCATCTTCGGGCTTGTTTCTACATAAAGGAAACCTAAGAGAACAAGTTGCCTGGGAGCCCCCAGACATTTCATCAGGTCCTCTGCTCATCAGGACCATGAAGGTCCCCCACCTCTGAAAGTCTCCCACTAGTCAGTTTATGTATAACTTTACGAATTCAGGTGCCTTCTTTACCTGTAGTTTTAAATACAGTAATGATGGACAAGAACAACCCTCTTTAAAGCATCTGGAGGTCTTATAGTAGTGCTCTGTAAAGAATTTTTTTCTGCTACCAAAGTTCCTTTTAGTATAGAGCTGCATATGGAAAACATATACTAGAGAAGTAGTCTTAATTATTACTAGACTTTTTTACAAAAATAAAAGTGATGGCAAAACTCACTATGCATCTCTACTTGCTATCTATAATGAGATTTTAGAAAGTTTTCCAACACAGTTTCTATTTTGTAATTCTTGCGTTTGTAAAAATGTTTTAATTGCAATGTCAGGGTACAAAGGCAGTGGTTTGAATGTTATGGTTTTTGTGGTTTAACAGGAGACAGCTAAACACCTTTTGTGGTTTAACCCCAGCCATCAACCAAGCATTATAGAGCTGCTCTTTCACGCCCCCACCAGTGGGATCAGGGAGAGAATCGGAAGGGTAAAATGTAGAAAACTCATGGGTTGAAATAAAGACAGTTTCATAGGAAAAGCAAAAGCCACACACACAAACAAAGCAAAACAATGAATTCACTGCTTCCGATGGGCAAGCAGGTGTTCAGCCATCTCCGTGAGAGCAAGGCCCTATCGCGCAGAACGGTTACTTGGAAAGGCAAATGCCATAATTTCAAAAGTCCCGTTCCCTCCTTCTTCTTCCTCCCCCAGCTTTATATACTAAACATGATGTCATATGGTATGGAACATCCCTTTGGTCAGTTGTAGTCATCTGTCCTGACTTTGTCTCCTCTCAACTTCTCATGCACCTGCAACCTCCTCACCAACATGACAGTACAGAAAAGCAGAAAAGACCTTGGCTCTGTGTAAGCACTGCTCAGCAATAACAAAAACATCTCTATATTATCAGCACTGTGTTCTGCACAAATCTAAAACATAACCCCAATACTGGCCACTGCGAAGAAAATTAACTCTACCCCAGCCACAACCAGCACACCACCACACAGCTGTTCCTTCACTTCTCCCCCTGCCCAGTGGGATGGATTAGAAAATTTGAAAAAAAAATAAATCATGGATTGAGATAAAAACAGTTTAATAGGGCAGAAAAGAAAGGGAAAAAAATAAAGATAAAATAATTAGAATATACAAAACAAGTGATGTACAATGCAGTTGTTCATCACTGATCACCACTGTATGTAACTGATGCCCAGCCAGCCCCTGAACAGCAGTCCCAGACCAGTATTCCCACATTTATATACTGAGCATGACGCCATATGGTATGGAATATCCCTTTGGTCAGTGGAAATCAGCTCTCCTGGCTGTGTCCCCTACCGAGTTCTTGTGCATCCCCAGGCTCCTCACTGGCCAGGCAGCCTGAGAAACTAAAGGTTACACTTGACTAAGTGTAAACACTACTTAGCAGCAACTAAAACATCAGTGTGTTATCAACATTATTCTTATCCTAAATCCAAAACACAGCGCTGTACCAGATACTAGAAAGAAAATTAACTCTATCCCAGTTGAAAGCATAACAATATTGCAAAAGGACTCATTGGTAGACCTTGACTCTAACCACAGCTGCAATTCATCCTATTCAGTCACTCAAGGAAAATTCTGAACAAACTACCTGAAAGGGAAATGAGTTTCCTTTGACTCTGCCATGCATGTGCAGAAGTAACATCAGTGAATAACAACAGAGCTCTTCTTGTTTTCATTATCCCAAAATAAAAGTTTGGGGGTTGCTGGCAGAAATTTTTCAAATCACATTTGGGACTGGTGCCCATTTGAAGAAAGACTGATCACCCTGGTGATGGTGATATAAAAACCATTGGTTAGATACATCAGAATGGACACTTGGAAATCGATGAAGAAAGTAACTATTCCCTTGCAATACCCGTACATCTTTCCTACACTATAGTATTCAGTACCTTAGTGTAGACACTGTACTTAACTTGCAAATTTGGGATTATGCTGTAAGTGATAGATAATTTATTAACGTGTATTTTGATAGCATTAACTGTTCCTCTGTGATTGACACAGGTGGTTCTACCAGAGTAATCCAAATTAAAATGCAAAAACCCCTAAACTTCTCCTTTAAGTGCAATTATAGCAGCTTTGGAGCCTGACATGTTGTGCAATTGAAAGCGTTGCATTTCAGAAGCAAATTATTTCATGAGACTCAACAAGTGTTGGGTTTTTTCCAGGCCTTCCTTCAGTTCCTGAAGAAGGTGGTTGCTAATGAAGGGAAAAACAAGATGAATTTGTGGAATGTTTCTATGATTGTTGCACCAAACCTCTTCATCTACAAAGGGAAACGTGCAAACCAACAAGAAATGCAAGCAGCTGCCACCACAGCACACATCGTGCGGCTGTTAATTCGGTACCAGGACATCCTGTGGACAGTAAGTAATGTTGGTTCCCTCTTTAGGGCTCCAGTACAGGCCAGTATTTTGCTATATGCAGGAGCTCTGCAGAAATCAGGGTAAACTGACCTTCCAAGAAACAGTTGGCTGTTCTTGGGAAACTGGCTGAAGCCTTCTACATCCAAAATGAGATAGGATGACGGATATCTGTGGATTGAGTTACCTCACTTACCTGAGTCATCTATTTTAGCACGAATTGCCCTGTCCCACACCATTGTTTATACATAAGAGAGTGATTTAATCTAGATGTCTAGGTGATACGTCTAAATTTGAGTGAGATTAAATGTCTGTTTAAAGTCTAGCCCATAGCAATGTGACACCAAAAGTGTGTACTACTTGTTGAGCTGCTGAAGGTTAGCATGAAGACTTTGACAGTCTCAGTTTGTTTCCTCAAAAAGGAGGGTATGATGAGGATTGCAAAGACTACCTCCTAATGAAGTTCCTGCAACTTCAAACATCACTAAGAGTTTCATATGGCGTGAAGATCTACAGTGTCACCAAAGGAATAACTGTAGGCTGCTAGAGAGAGCTACAATTTGCATGTATCTTCTAGGAATAAATAGAATTTCTGCTGCCTAAAATTTGGTGCATTTCTAAAGACCCAACAGCAATGCTGGGGGGAAAATGACTATATATTCTTAGATCTGGTTTCCTCCCTTTAGGTCCCATCTTTCCTGATTTCCCAAGTGAGAAAAATGAATGAGGCAGCGATGAACAACAGCAAGAGACAGTTGATGTTTGACAAAGGAGTGAGAAAACTTCTGAGGAGAAAGACCATGGAACGGGAGAGACCTGAAAGACCAGAGGTGTGATAAAAAGATAGTTTTCAAAGGCAGCTTTAATGAGCCTCTCTCCTTTATCTCATGAAAACTACTGGGGGCAGGGAGGAAATTTTGCCATATAAAATTAGCTGATTAGGGAGCTATCTTGAAAGATGTGCTTTGCAGTCCAATGTCCTGATAAGACAAAGCTTTGGGAATTGATGAGAAGAGGTGAGGAAGGCAGAATGATTTCTAGCAGCCCAAGCTGTAAGCTGTTTACAAACACATGCTGGTTTTTAACCTGTTTCATAAGAAAATGGTTATATGGGGACTGTCCTTGACAGTGATGATCTGTAGATATTCAACAAATGCATGGATCTGTAGCTGAGTAGTAGAATAGTCTGTATTTGGATTAACTGAATTTATGCATGCCCTGCTCCAGGCCACTTGATAGTCTCCTTGCAAGGCTTAGTTTTAGAGCTTTGCATTAACTTCCTAAGTGGAAAGCAAATCCAGTTTGCCTGCCATAGACACCTAAATTGGGTCTAAATGTTAAGCGCCCAATGAAGCAGTTTGTGTTGTTATTCCCTGTATAGTCAGAGGAGAGAGGTTAGTACTTTTGAGTATTTCCAGGGTTCCAGGTGCAGTTCCAACTTAGGAAAATCTGACAGAAAAATCTTTCTTTGAAGATCTTAAAGCCACCAACTTTTCTCCACTGCCTAGATACGGAGATTAGGAAGTTACTTGAGGTATGCTGCTTTGATAGACAACTAAAATAAACTTACTTACATATTAGGTTCAACATATAATTTGGGCAACAAAGAATGTTGTGTCTACATGCACAACCTATACAGTCCCTATAGCAGCTTATATATAGTATTTCCATGTAGTAACTACCATTAATAACCTGGAGAGAAAGTCTTTAGGGTCCTCCATGGATGTTTAAAAGAATGAAATTGGTGAATTGTAAAAGAAGTAATTAAAGAAATGGTCAATGACTCTATAGTTGCTGAAGAACAGTCTTGAAGAAAAAAAAAAAGACAAATAAGGAAGGAGTGATATTAAGAGATTATAAGAAATAGAGAATGAGCTGCCTAGTGCAGACAATAGAGAAAATGCAGAAGGGAAGGTACAGGAAAAAAAGTAGAAAAATAAATGTAATGTATGAATTGTGAATCCATGCTAATTCAGCTTTCTGGAGAATTTATTTGCCAGCACTGACCAATATATATTGTGGGTAGGATTCACACTGGTGCTGCAAATGGAGACAGAGATGTTTGTTTAAATTGGTGATGTAGACTACTGTGTTGCAAACTTGTATTCAGCCTGGAATGAACACAGAAAGGCTCTCTCTCTGAGGAGAGTCAATTACTGCAGTCATTGCACCTTCAAGAAGACAAGTCCATTGATCGTAGTAATTGGCTTTACATCTAATAAAAACGAGGGTAGCTGTGGCAGGTAGCTGAAATATGAAGGGTAAATTGGAGGCAAACTCTGTTTGGATAACTGAGTTGAATTTTGAGAGCACTTAACACAATCCCCAGGTCTCAGATGTTCTAAATTACACAGAGACAGAGACTGGAGAGACTATTGTGTTCTGCTCAGCATGGTATTAACTGGATTAGAACTGGAATGCAAACCTTGCTAATTGATTTATCCACCATTAATCATGGAAGAGCGCATAAGCATCATAGATGATTGTTTGAACCCTATACAAGGTCAAATTCCAAATTAACAGAAACCATATGGTACTTTGATATTTTACTGTACACACATTTCAATCAAGTTGAAGCTATAGGAAGCGGAAACAGAGAACTGGATTTTTATGCCTCAGGAGAATTTCATCTTTAAAAGGAAGAACAGATATTTCTAATAATTTTTATATGTTTTTATGTAAGCTGTTGGCTCACCGAACAATGTTAACAGAAATAACTTAAAATTCAAAGACTTTACTCTGTATGCATTTATGTGATATGTACCAAGGAGTTTGGGCCTTTGTGTTGCATCTCGCTATACTGCGTCTACAAATTTGCATTTGTATGACTGTAAATATGTCTTTTGAATAATCAAGTGAGTGCAGGACACTGATTTTTGCAAGCAACCTCAAAAGAGTTGCAGAACTGCTTCTGAATGGAGCTAGAGTAATATTTGCCTTAGACTTACTCTATTGAATATTGATTTTAGGGAGCTGTCACTTTTCCCCCATACCTGCAGTCTGACATACCCGAGGGGGTGATAAGAGTTTATGCTCCACTGCATTCAAAAGTCTCTATGGCAATTCAGCTCAACAGCCAAACAAAAGCCAAAGACATCCTGGCTCGATTCCACTGTGAAAACAGGTGGGTAAAGCAGAACATTTTGTTTTTCCTGAACGACGATGTCAGAACTATAAATGGATTGTTCTCTTTTCAAAGATTCATTGTGTTACAAGAACTCTTTTTCTAATTTAAAATTGCTAATTTATGGTTATGTTGGTCAAAGAAATTTTAACCCCTGATTTTATTCTTTTTATTTTACTTAATAATTGGTTCCTATACAGAATCAATCTGCCCTGTTACATCACTACTAAAAATGTACATTAAGCATATATTTTATAGACTTGCTGCATAGAGAACCCAAAAGAATTGTCTTACACCTGTCCATAAATCTTTAATGCTTTTATTTCTGTAAGGTAATAATTATTAAGTTATGGGAAATGGTAAATTGTATCTGGAAGTCTTTTCTGTAGTCTTCCCATGTTACCACATAATTTTGCTCTTTGAATAAATATAATATAAAATAAATAATATAGAAGGTTTAGTTAACTGTGATGCAGTAATCTACCTCTGTAGCAGATTCAGTATTCTGCAGTGGTCCATTTGGTAGAAGTTCCTGCTTTTGATAAGGCAGTTCACAGGGGAAAAAATATCACACTTCTGCTTACCATAGAAGGCGGGTGATAAGGCAGTGGTTATAACAGAAATACACACTGAAAGTTTGTTTTTCCATCCTAGCCGTGGATCATCACAGAATATGAGAGGCCAGATCCAAAGTTTACATGAAATTGGAGGAAATATAGGTAGGTCTCATTTTTGAAGATTTAATTCTGAATGTCCTTAACCTCCTAAAACACCTCAGGGCAGCACTGTTTTGACACAGCTGGGTCACTCCTACCCTCCAGTGCATTTGGAGGAAAGGAGCCTGACCCAAAAGCTGTTAAACAAATGCCATGATTTACTACAACTCCAGCATGACTAGAGGGGCACCCCACAGGAGCACCCCTTACAGTCTTGCCAAATTTATCTGACCTTTTGCTTACCTCTCTCATAACTCATCATTTTTTCATGGTTAAGAGATCCTTAGTCTTCCTCTTGCAAGCACATTCCACCTTGTTGTCAAGCCTTTTCCCAAGACCTATTTCTTCCTCAGTGTACTGAAGTGTTAACCTCCCTCTAATAAAAAACACAGAATTGAGAATTCACCTCCCTGTACCTATGGGTGTTCTATACTTACACTAATCCGTGTGCTTTATTTAGATAGCAAATTCTGTGCAGTAGGGCTTTTGTCTTCTATGTTTCATGCAGTCCCACTTCTTGTAATAACAACAGTGGCTTGCCCCACAAGTGTCTGGCCTGAAGGTCAAAATTTGATATTGCACAATCCTGGCTCTCTTCTTTCTCTATTTCTACCAAAATTCTGGATGTTCTGTTCAAGTCTGTTGTCAGCTATCTGATTAGATTATTCCTTATTTCTTCTTGATTAACCCCAGAAGAGTTTTTGTAAAGTTATTACCAAATATCACAGACTTACTTCAGCAGCAAACAAGAACCAGTCTTTATTACTGACGACACACAAAGCTAAATTGGATCAGTGACTTTTTTTGCCTGGCTTAACAGGATGACCAACTGATGCTAAAAAAGAAGAAGATCCTAAAAGCCTTATGAAACAATCCCAAATATTCCCACCACACTCTTTCAAAAAATCAGGATGTTTAATTTGCATCTTCATTTAAAATTATTTTATAGTCTAGATACTTCAGGGTACCTTAGTCAACTGATTAGGCATTAATTCATTTATATTGCTTTCACTTGAATAAAATCGTTAAGACCCCAGTGACCTTATAAAGTAACTGTACAAAAATTTTACCATAATCCTTTGTCTCACAGCAATGTAACCTCACCAGTTAAATGACTTCATCACCCCACATAAATGTAATATAGTCCAACAAATCAATTTAACTCTAGAATTTATTGCCTTATTACTCAATTAAGAGGCACCAAATGCCTCATTCTGGCAAAGGCAGCAGGGACTTCCCAATCACCACCTACTGAAACCCTGAAACAGCCTTAGGAGGATTTTTTTTATTTATTTTTTTATTTTAACCAGCCAAATGGCAACTGCCTAAAACCTTGATATAGTCCCTGTATTTCTTTGCAAGATCCCATCTGGATGGGAACACATTGTTTACAGAGCTACCTTTTCAGTATTTAAAAATAGTGTAGCAACAAAGTCAGAGAGTCGTTATTCCAGCCTAGTAAATTCAAAGAAATAAAAAGCCTCATAACATAGCACTTACAGTAAGAGTGTTGTTAATGCTTCTTAAAAACACATATTTGTTCACCATTTAACTAAATGTCCATAACTCGATGTAATGCAGGTCATCTTGCCTGGAAGTGAAAGTGCATTCATGATTCCCACAGAATAAAATCACTGGCAAATTTACCACAGGCCCTCAGTGTGTCCTGGCAAGATGTTAGCTGGACACACCAAATTAGGCTTGCTGTGTGCAAGTCAGAGAAACATTCGAAGACATTTAATGAAGCTCTGTCCCAATGTGCTCAAAACATCCTATAATTCACAGGTTTTAATTTCTGTTTCAGGTCAGCACTGCTTGGATCCAGATGCGTACATGTTAGATGTCTACCGTGCAAATCCTCAGGCAGAATGGGTGATAAAACCAAAAGCGAGCTGAAGCAGAAGGCTGCAGTGTACTGGACAAAAGCCAAATGGACAAGAGTGATGCCTGTCATTTTAAGAAGCTCTTGCAGAGACAAAACGGTAGCTACAGGACATCATTCCTTCCTACTGTACTGTCCAACTGATGGTCAGCACATACTAATTTTGGTATTCCAGATTCTGACCATCAGAAAAATATCACATCAGTTATACTTTCATATGGATTACACTTGTGCCAGTTGGCCCAGGAATTGAGGAGGACAGACCAAGGTACGGTGTGCAGAAAACAACCTGTCACATACAAGTTGTTCATTTCCTGACCTGGTGTTAGAACACAGATTTTTGATAATAATCCAGTGGCATCAGAGGATGAATGAAACACTACCTACCACAGTGTAGCACAGAAGCACCACAGAGACGTTCAAGAAGAGAAGGTACCTGTCAGATGTGGAAGACAGGAGCTCAACATGCAGCAGTGCCAAGATACAGCCATGTGACAAAACCAAACCTTTCTGCTGAAAGTAAACCTGTACAGTGTGCATTACTGCAATAATTGTCTCTCAGTCACTCTTCATGAGTACCTGATACTGCGGGTGGGAGGCAGGGGAAAGAACTACTGTATAGACAGCTATACTGCCTAATGTGTACCACTGTATTACATATCACTACCAGTCTTCCAAAATTGTCTGTCTGGATCATGTAGCTGTGTGCAATTGTAATGCCACAAACCATTCTCTCCTTCCTTCCTCTGTCACACACACAAATTTCAGGAGATAAATGCTAGGTAAGAAGGGGCATATGACCCTGGCTCTGCCTTTTACTTGATACTCTCAGAATTAAGTCTGTGTAATGCCATACTATAAGATATGTGTTAATGGTGCCGCTTACAGTCACCACTTGTTTTTGTCAAATATTATAGTTTCTTATTTGTAACCTAATTATTTTTATTTTGTTTATTTTAGCTTTAATATGTATGCAATTTTTATACTATTCAGCTGCATTGACAAGAGAGATCTTTGTTCAGGTCTTGTATAATACAACATGGAGAAGAAAAAGAGCTTCCAATGAGCAGTGGGATTTAATAATTTACACATTAGGTCTTCAAAACAATAGCCAAACTAGGCCCAGTCATGCTAGGGGTTTTACAAATACACAGAAAATTGCAGCTCCTTTTACAAATGACATGCAGTCTAAGAAAACACAGGCTGACAAGAGAACAACATGCTGCAACTGCCTTGTAGCTAGTCACAAGGGCAAGCACTGTTCTTCACCTAGTCATTTCCTTTGGGGCTATACTTTACTGAACTAAAGCATGTTTGTTGAGCTGGGAAATCACAAATCTCTGGGAAAGAGCAAGTCTTTTTTTCATCTTTGTTGTATGCAAAAAATGGGAATTAATACCTTCAACTGCACTCCAATATCTCCATCATTAAGATGATGATATTGCACAATGAATCCCCCCACAGCCTGAGCAGTGGGTTTTGTTCCTGACCTGGATGCACGGATAAGGCAGAAGCTGTTTATCATGTAGCAGTGTAAAAGCGTTCTGAACCAAGTCCTCCAGGTGAACATAAAGGACGCTGTCCTGCAGAGGAAGTCTGTAACTTGTGATGCTCTGCTGAAGCTGTGCAGTGAGGACCTGAACCAGAAGCAGGGCTTCTAGAATGTGCTGAGTTTTTTCAGTAGTTAACTTTCTTTGTTAGTGATCAGTGAAAGAAATCAACATTGAATTAATAACTTTACCAGCAACAATAATGTCTACAGAGGGCAGATCCTGTCTTCTTTCTTACTTTCTCTATAAAAAATGATAACAATTTAGCAACATAATCCTTTCATTTTCTTTAGAACAGTGACATTTTAAACTTTCCTGATGTTTTGTTTGTTTTTTTGTTTCTGTTTTTGTTTTTTTCCCTTTCTTTTTCTTCTTAACACTAATGGAGACATAGCTGCAGCCAGAAAAAGACCAGGACACTTGTGTTATAAAATACACTCCTCATTTTGACAACTATTTCTTATAAGTATACAAGAGATAGTAGATCTGTGGTTTGTTTATAGGACTAAGCATAAATGTTTTGTCATGTGTTTTGCTCCCGATACCCTTTAGTTCTCTCTGTGGCAATGGACAACTCTTCCTACTTATGCTGCCCTTTTCTTTCAGCTGTAAAGCAGGACGAGTACTTTCCATATAAAGGCAACATGATAATTAGTTGAGTTAAATTCTACTCTCAGATGCAGTCAAACAATTCCCTGACCAAATGAGGAGTTACAAACATCCATGTGGAAAGGATAAACTTAGCAAAGGTGTTTTATGTGGAAAGTGCTTTGAATACTAAGAGCATCATAGAAATGCTAAGCATCACCGTATTTATAGCCAATTAAAAGAGGTTCTATGACTATACAGAAAGCCTAAACATTAACAAAAGCATTTGAAATGTCATAGCAAATGACCTAATTTTCTACAGTACTTTCAGACAAATACACTGACCTCCTCCATCTTGCCCACTAACTTCAGTCTGTGTTCTCAATGGCCATGCAAGGGAAATTACAGAGAAGCCCTGTGTTCATGCTGTAATTTGCTCAGCATGTTCTGGACCTCATCAGTGTTATTTCTGAAATAGATCTCCGTGCATTCCGTACAGAATACAGTGGGTTTTTGAAAGACCGATACCACTTCACAACTTATAAAGTCAAATATGATGTAATAAAATCCATCCTGTGAGCATTTCTTTTATGCTAAAACTGCCTATAACTTTATAAGACACGCATATTACCAGATGAACTAGATTCTACATACAGTGCCCAAACTACTATAGCGTGGCCAAATACCTCCTGTCTCTGAAACAGAATGTCAAAATTCTTTTTTGATACAAGTGGACCTAATGACCCATGTGTACTGTGCTTAATGCTGTTCTACATTAAGTTGTTTTGTATTGTTGTGGTACACTAACTTGATTTCATATGCTGCAGACAAATGGAACAATCTCAATGACATTTTGAAATACGAGGTCTCAAGTTTAGGCCTTATATTTCAAGATGCTGGTGGAGGCATGAGAAATTTTGTTCCTCCTCACAGCAGCTGAAGTCAAAACCAAGTTACAGTCGGATTGTCACCTAACAAAAAGCAACATATGTGGAAAGCTATTAATAAGAAAGTGGTAGCAAGCAGGGAGAAATTTATTCAAATTCCAAAGATGCTTTGAGCATTTATTTATGTACTCCATGGTTCTACAAAGACAAGCATTTTGCATATCAACACATTAAGTATTGTAAAAAGTAGGCTTTGGAAATAGACTGGAATACTCTAACCTGTTTATGCAGCTAACGTCATTCAAATGTGTGCGTGTGTGCAAATGTGTCTGTGTCCATGTGTAATATTAACTACCTCACTCTGCATTTTCCAGGAAAAATATTTTGGCTTAGAGGTTTACTACTCAAGAACTTTCTATTCTCAGTTTCACCTCTCCACTAGTCTTATCTCATTGACAAAATGTCTTTTTCTGTGGGACAAGATTTGAAATTAAAAAAAAAATATACTAAAATACGTATTTCAGGAAATTTTATCCAAACTGTGTTGCCTAAATTACTGCTTGTAATGTGAACCTTATGAGATCAGATCTTGGGTTTAAATAGACAACAGATACACACTGTGGTTTATTTTTATTTTTCAATGGCTTTCTATTAATGTGTGTCTTCTCTGGAAAATAATACAATGCCACTAATCAAAGCAAAGTGTTTGTGTGTGTTTCCCTTACAAGCCTCATTATGTTCTGTGTTTTGTTGAAGTACACCAACATGTAAGTGTATTTGTACAGCAGAGTGTGTCCACTGTATTGTACCCATGTCAAAAATAAAAGCATACCAACAAAGAAAGCTCCTCAAATCTAAACATGTCATTTTTTTAGATAGAAGCAGAGGACAGAAATGACAAAAAGCAGTGGTGAATCTGTCTTAAAAGCAACTGTGTTGTTATAGTACCTGTACAGCTAGCTATACAAAGGACTGTGTTCTGCCACCCTTGCTTAAGTGGAGGAGTTCTTCGCTCCAGCTCTTCTCTTGGACTGCCTCGATGCAGGGTACAAAAGGACACTACTTTGAATCCTGCCTCATTGAAATCAATGGCAAACCACTTTAGGGTTCCCTTTCAGCCAGTATTTTTTTAACTAGTATGAAATACATAGAGCAAAACTAACTCCAGAAAAAATGTAAAAGTGCATAGTAAAAGTTAAACAAAATTGTAAGGAGCAAGCAAAAATACTGCTGGTTCAAAGAGGAAAAAAAGGAGATGGAAGCGACTTGCAAAGAACTATGTTTATTATAGATGTATATTAAAGTATCAGACAAGTTTGCCAGTGCTCAGTGATCTGTCCAGTTGATGAATGAATGTCCTTACTTGAATCAGATTGAGCACATGTTCCCCAAACCTGGATCAAAAGGAACTACTGGAAGACTCATTTTAGAAAGGCAAGCACAGTAAGAAAAGGCAAAGGCAGAACTGCTTAGTGGCCTGCGAATTAGGAATTGCAGAGCACCAAAAGTGCCTCCCTGTGTCCTGTAAGAAATACAGTTTTCCAAAGAAAGATGCATTAGTTCTAGTTGCAAAAATGCCTGGTATTTCCCAAGTCAGACCCACATTGTTTCTTCACCAACACAACACTTCATGCTTGTCTCTGTGCTATGGAGTTGCTGCTTGTCCTGAAGCTGATTACATGAAAGCACAAAGAGCTACATAAATCCTCCTAGATTTATCTATAATATATCTATAATGAGGGTCAGAAGCACTGGATTTTAAGGCAGAAGGAAAAGAAACTGGAGCTACCATATGAAGTATAATGTAGAAAATTCTATTGATGAGACTCTGAATTTGAGATCTTCAAAATTACGCCTTTAGTCAGTCTCCTGCTCCCTCTGCTGGACTTTATGCACTTAACACTTCTTGCATCAGAATCATTGAATGGCCTGGGTTGGAAGGGACCTTAAAAATCATCTAGTTCCAGCCTCCCTGCTGTGGGCACATTTGTCACTTCTTAGCCTGTCGGTTCTTTTTCTTCTGACTGAAATGTATGGACAACTGAACTACATGAAATAATGCACAGTTTATTGTAGTTTTATTTGGTGGTCCAAAATAATTACCTTTTTATAAAACAAACAACACACAATAAAATGAAATACTGTCAAGTAATCAAAAGAAAACATACTGTAAACACTGATTAATAAAAATTCCCAAGAGAAAAATACGCAATTAATGCCATTACATTGTGGTAGAGGTATTTGTTGTTTAAAACCTTTTAGTTAAAATGTAGACATAGAGTTGATTAAAAAAAAATAAATGACCTGAGTTGGAAAACAACCAGAAAAATCAAAGAGATGCAGGCTCTCACCAATTCTTTTCATTACAAAATGAGAATGCAAAATAACAGATCAACAAAAAAAACCCTCTCTCAGTCCAGACGGGCTTTGCTACAGTTCAGTGCTCAACCCCAGGGCAGGAATGAGGAAAGACTCCACGGAGGTCAAAAGCTCTGCTAAAGTCAAACAATTCTGCATGTTGGCTCTTGGTCAAAACAAGGTTCCTCAAACAGCCACGGAATGAGCTCTTGCTCGTGAGGCAGTTTTGCTTCACGTCAGCTGAAAAAAACCCATGAAATACATAGAATCTATTTCCAGTGAACAGAAACAATACAAAGATCCAGGTTATTAAACTGCTTCTCCTCCCTCTAAAATGAGAGATAAAACCAATACGCAAAGAGCACCAAGTTCTATTCACATTTGGACGATCTAGGACATACCAACACGAACAGTCTTTGCTGCCTTCAAGCATAAGCCATGCACTGGGGTAACTTGTGCAGAGTTTGCAGAAATACTATGTCCCAGGGGACAATGGGAAACGAGAGGGGAAATCAAAGGAGAAAGCCATCCTATATAGGTGTTTTTTAAGTTAAAATCAAAACTGGCAGAATACGAAGTAACAGCTGAACTGTAAACCATCTCAGACTCCACTGGCAAAGTGGGGTGGGGGTGGAGGGAACACATGTTAAGAGTCACTCTCGTGAGAGTGAGAGCAAGAGGGACAGAAGGGAGGAGAAATATTATTGTACCTACCAGGATAGCCTCCAATGTAAATGGGATTGTTCGTATCAGCAGATGTTGACTGGATGTAGGGATTATCAGTTTGAATCAAATTCCCATCAATCATCAGTGAAATGTGGTGTTTGCTTTTGTTTGCTTGAAGTTT